GTCTAGCAAAACCACAGGGAATGTCCATGTAGACCTCTTCATGCAAATCACCATTCAAGAAAGCATTGTGGACATCCATCTGATATATAAACCATCCTTTGGAAGCAGCCAAAGCAACGACAGACCGGACAGTCACCATCTTCGCCACAGGACTAAAAGTCTCACCATAATCAAGCCCTTCTTGTTGACTAAAACCTCGAGCCACAAGTCTGGCCTTGTACCTTTCAACCTCCCCAGAAGCTAAGTACTTAATTTTATATATCCATTTGCAGCTAATAGGCCTCTTGCCAGGTGGCAGATCCACTATGCTCCAAGTCTTATTGCTTTCCAGAGCATCAATCTTTGCTTGCATAGCCTGTCTCCATTTAGGATTAGTAGCAGCATCCTTAAATGAGCTAGGTTCAGAAACAGCTGAGTAAGCACTCAAGGCCAATCGATATTCGAAGACAAGTGATTGTAAGACAAGTGATCTGCTAGTGAATAAGAACATGCAGGAGACTTAGGCTTAGAAACAAAGTCCTGCAGCCATAGAGGGGGCTTGGTGGACCTTGATGACCTTCTAGGAAGCACCTCAGGAGCTGGAGGAAGCACACCAGTAGACTCAGGTGAGACTGATCTAGCACCATCAACAGAGGAAGAAGGTGGAGATGAAACCACTGGAGGTGGGACAGGAGAGACATAGTCCATAATTGGAAACATAGCATTAGGTGAGGCTTGGAGATGTCTGTAAGGAAACAAACCTTCTTGAAACACCACATGCCTATTTACAGAGAACATTTTAGCATGAATATCATAAAGAATATAGCCCTTTTGTGTGGAGGAGTATCCCATAAACACAGTAGGAACAGCTCTTGCAGAAAACTTATCAGGTTTCTGAGGACTTGCAGCATAACACAAACACCCAAACACCTTGACATGAGCCAAGTCTGGAGGATGCCTGTACAACTTTTCAAAAGAAGATTTGTAGCCTAGTAATTTTGTAGGGATTCTATTTAAAATATAAACAACAGTGAGAACACATTCCCCCCAGAATCTCAAAGGTATAGAAGCTTGAAACCGTAAAGCTCTAGCCATATCAATGATGGTTCTGTGCTTTCTTTCAGCAACCCCATTTTGCTGTGGGGTATACACACAAATAGTCTGATGTAGAATGCCCATGTTACTCAATAGAGTTTGAAACGCAGTGCTGAGAAACTCACAGCCATTATCAGACCTGAATGTTTTAACACTTGTGGAAAATAAGTTTTGAACTCTTGTAAGAAAATTCTGTAGAACAACTATTGAATCAACTTTTGAAGCATTAAAAAAAACCCATGTATATCTGCTGAAGTCATCTACAATAGTAACAAAATACTTCTTTCCATTGTGAGTAGGAACTTTATAAGGTCCCCACAGATCACAATGAATCAATTCAAATACAGCAGTAGTGTTATGAACACTTAAAGGGAATGGAAGTTAGATTGTTTAGCTACAGGGCACACAGTGCAATGAGAACAATCTGTGAAGTTTAGGGATTTGAGAGACTCATGCCTCCTTATTACATCAATCGGAGCATGTCCTAATCTCCTATGCCAAACATCACTAGAAACAGACTGATCAGATACATGAGATACACTAGTAGTGTGAACTAACTGCTGTGAACTAGACTTGTGACTTGATTCTTCATGAAGGATGTAAAGGCCATGCTCTTCTTTACCAAT